GCTCTTTTAGTCTACCACCTTTTCATTGTCAATGCTTCAACTCAAGTGACACCTCCTCAAAGAGGCTTGCTTTCCTTGACTAGTAAACACAGCACCCACCCCTTTCCCCATATCCCTCTCTACCAAATTTTACCTGAAATATTTTTAGTACTTGTCAACAAGTAATATATACACATACAGGGTCAAGAAAGTGTCTGTTTTTTTTTCATTTTTATTTTAATCAAAATTATATGCATATACTTTTGAAAGTCAAACAGTTCTATAAAAATTACTGTGGAGAGGAGAGTCTCCTACCTTTCATCTTTCTTTGCCTTTCCCAGATAAAACCACTTCTAACTTTTCAGTTGAATCTTGCTATATTGTTCCTTGTTGATTTTTTTTTTTCATTTTTGGTGTTACTTATTGATTTGCCACTATGGAAGATGAATATTTGTTCCTCTTTCATCTCACTCCCACCCCAACACATACACACAAAAACTGTCAGTCTTGCCATCCTTCCAATATGGATATTTCCTGATTTGGGGCATTTGTCTCACTCCATCTATATGTATGCTCTTTACAGCAGCTGCATATAGTATTCTATAAATTCTTTTAAAAATTTAATTTCATACCCTCCCCTGATTGTTTAACTCTTCTTTCCATATGTTCAGATGTATCAACTATTCTATCAATCTTTTCATCTTGAAAACTTTTCTGGTGCTTTCTGACCTCCTCTGTTTGGATGGGCATGCCTGGTAGAGCTATCATCCTAGAAATTCTCTGTACTACCAACACTAGCAATTAGATTCTTCTCTTTCCTATTTGGTTGGCTTATTTAATAAGGGAGGTTTGCTCTCAAATTTCTATAGAACATATCTTCTGTTAGCTCCCTGATAAAAGATACTTTGTAAATAAACTTTTTAAACCTGGCATGTCTGCAAATATCCTCAACTTGATTTAAATATCTTCAATTTTTCTACTTGTTATAAAGTTTTTAAGATATAAAATTCTAAGTTGAGAGTTATTTTTCCTTAAGAAATTTAAAACCATTGTTCTATTACCTTCTAGAAATACAGGTTCCAATTAAGAAGTCTGAAGTTGTGTGATCTGTTTTGTCTGTGATATGATTTTTTCTCTTGGGATACTTGTGGTGGTGGTGGGGGGGGGGGGGCGGCTACCCTTTTCCCAAGGGTTTTGAAATGTCCCAGCAATGTCCATTGACCTTTTTTTTTAAATCTATTTTGTTGGGTATTCATTGAGCTCTTTCAATCTGAAAACTAATGTCCTACAAAACATTTTAGAATTATTTATTTAAGTTTTACCCTTCATTTTCTCTGCTCTTCTTCTGGAACTCCAGTTATTTGGATGTTGGACCACCATATTTTCTTATATTTCTTCATTTTATTATTGTATTTTCTGTTCTTCTCTCATATTTTCCATGTCTTTTGCTCTATTCTCTGTAAAACTTCCTTAATTTTATTTTTTCAAACCTTATGGAATTACACATTTCTGCTATTCTGCTTTTTATTTCTAAGGACTCTTTTTTGTTGTTAGATGTTTCTCTTTTAAAAAAAAAAAATCATTATTGTTACTTTCCTATCTTGTTTACTATCTTATTTCTCTGTGGATATTAATGAGAGTTTTTTGTTTTTCTAACTTTTGCCTGACCTCTGTTTCCTCAAATTGCTTTTCTCTGCTCATTTAGTTTCTACATTTCTTGCAAGAGGGTTTCCTCAGACACAGATAACCCTTGACTGTTGGCTCATATGTACAAGTGGAGCACCTTAGAATTGACTGTTCTCTGGGGATTCATAGACCATGGTTTTTATGGTAGGGCAATTAGGCTGGGTCTTCTCTTTGCAAGACCTCCAGGTATAAGTATCTCAAGTCTTTCCTCTTGGGCTAGTTAGAATTCTTCGTGAAGGCTCTTTTTACCTACTGCCTGGATAACCTAGATATAGCTGCCATTATTCTAGGAATCGGAATGGGGAAAGGTTTGGTGGAAGGAAACAGGGGCAGTTGTCCCAGAATTCAGTTTGTCCCAGCATTCAGGATTCTGTAAACAGAATCCACCTGTTTTTAGTATGGTGCCCCTTCCTGAACACATTCCGGGGCTTCTCCTTCAGTCCAAGTGTACTTGTTTGTCTATGTGGAGTGGCATCTAAGAGTGATTCTAACTGCTTCTTACACTGATTTGTACCTCCTTTTTTTGGTATTTCTTTTTACTTTTACTTCCAAAAGTACTTGGTACCACCAGTTCCTGAGATGTCAAGGGGCTTTGTTGGTATAAATTGGATTGCTTTTCAGCTTTCCTCACTGCCAACTTTGGATTCAGCTTTCTCGGATCTGCTAAGCCAGCTACTAATGGTCTGTCTGTTTTTTTACTTCTAATTTTTTTTTTACTCTTTTTTTATTAACTGCCCTCTTCGTTCTTTGGGATTTATGCTTTAAAAAAATCCATCTACTGTTGCTTTAGTGGGGTTTGTAGAAAAAAGCAAAAATAAATGTATATGTCCAGTTGGCTAACTTTTAATTTATTTACATGCTTTTATGAACACATAAGTGGGAATTCTGTCTGCTCATTTACTGCTTCATCTCCTAGTGCCCACATACTAGATGCATGATAAATATTTTCTGAGTGAGTGACTAGCTGACAGACCCACTAACTAGCTTGGTTAGTTAAGTTTCTGAATAGCCTCAAAACTGCAGAAATTAAAATGACAATGTTGTGGCTGTATCTACCATGAAGTATTTCTGAAAGGTGATGATATCGGGTTTCTTTAAAGATATTTTCATTCTATTGTGTATCCCTTTAAATTTTGTAAATTTTCCTGCATTTTTCCTTTAAGAATTCAAAAGGGAAATATGAACTACTTTGGAGTAAAGAGTACTTTGGGAGGAATATGATAGGTAAAACTAAATATGTCATTGATAGTTTCTTTTTAAGTGAAACTTAACTTTTACTTCATTTTCTTGATCCGCTGGAAAACAGACCATGTGGATACAGTGATTTCAGGTCTCTTCTAATTTTTAAATTTCCTTAGAATTTGGTTATTTCCTATTGTCAGGATGGCAAATGCCTGGCAGTTTCAATGACTCAGTTTGGTTCTATAAAGTGTTTTAAATATGTTTTGAACATGAGAATGAGATTAACTCTCCTATGATGATAATGTCCTAGCCAATTCTCTCTAGAGTTTCTAAAGGAGGACAAATACAACAATGTGTAAAGAAAATAAAAACATAGAAACAAAAGAAATTCAGGGAAATCATTTTTCTTTCATAAACCAGGGCCTTGTTCTGTCAAGTAGCCAAGTGTGCACGCATTAATTAATTTAAATAACATTTACTGAGCACCTACCATGAGTATCAAGTTGTGCTAATATTAGAAACTCCACCATGTCCTGACTGGGCACTCATTTTATACTTGCTTAATTAAATTGATTTGAAATTCAGTTTTCTTTTTTTTTTAAGATTTTATTTATTTATTTGAGAGAGAGTGAGATAGAACATGATTTGGGGGAGAGGCAGATGGAGAGGAAGAAGTAGACTCCTCACAGAACAGGGAGCCTGACTCGGGGCTCGATCCCAGGACCCTGGGATCATGACCTGAGCCGAAGGCAGACGCTTAACCGACTGAGCCACCCCGATGCCCCTGAAATTCAGTTTTCTATTGCTATTTTACTATCTATGAGAGCTTTACCCTTGCAGTAAACATTTTTTTTAAGATTTTATTTATTTATTTGAGAGAGAGACGGAGTCTACGAGCTGGGGGGAGGGACAGAGGGAGAGAGAGAAACAGACTCCCCACTGAGCAGGGAGCCCAATGCAGGACTCGACCCCAGGGCCCCGAGACCATGACCTGAGCCAAAGGCAGACGCTTAACTGACTGAGCTACCCAGGTGCCCCTACAGTAAACACTTTTATCCCCATGCCATTTTGGTTAGGTGTGTGACCTTCTTGCATCCATTTTATAGGTAGCCTGTCTATAGATTATCAATTGAGAGTCAAGTATTGTGATAACAAAGGGCACAGAGAAAACCTATGCTAAATTTAGAATTAGAACTTGAACCTCTAGTGCATTTTTTTTTAGTCTAGTGATTATAGGTAAATTTTGGTAGCTCTCCGTATTTAAAGAAAAGGACAGCTTTTAAACTTTGAACAGTGATAGATACAAAATCCAAAAGTACAGAGAGATGTGGTATCTGTTGCTTCAAGAATGTCTTAATGTGAAATATCTCCTTTAAAATATCTTTTTTTTTTTTAAATAGGCCATTCATTGGTTGGGAATAGACATGATTTCAGAAAATTGTAAATAGAGAGCTTAGTGATGTGGGTCTTCCTTTTAAATAGTCTTTGGTTTTTAGTCATGAATGATTTTATTTGTGGTGAGTTAGGTCTTTTACTTTTTTTTAATTTTTATATTTATCAAATGAAATGCCTCCCAAAAGAGACATATATACTAGTAAAGGTACTATAAATTTAAAACATATAAAACCTGCGTATCGAAAAACATGATCTTTTTCCTTTAGCATTTCTAAGTCATAGACACTCGTTCTTTTAAAAAAGCTGAGATCCTTGAACTAGTTTTCCGATTAGTGTCTTGAATAACTTCCCATTTTTTGCTTTGCTTTTGTTCCGTCCCGTCCCTCCTTTACCTCCTCCTTACCCCTCTCGTCCAGTCTCTGCTGGTGAGGAAGATCTGTCCTTTCAGGCAAGGGCAGGAAGGAAAGTGAACAGCTCTCCCAGGAGGCCAGAGCTAATGGGAGCTTTGCGGATCTTTCAGCAGGGCTTGTCAATGATAACTGTGCAGTAGAGGTCTCCCCTACTGGCTCTCTGACCTCTTGGTAAACTATTTGTTTTTCCTTGTATTGATTTAAAAAAATGAGCCACCAATCTATAACTCCCTATCAACTGGGGTGTTGTTTTTAAGAACCATACGCATTTAAAATATGCTAATTCAGAAAACCCCAGATCCTTGACTTTGTTTTACTCTGCAATTCAGGTAAACCAGATCACTGATGATGTTAAAACAGAATCCTTGAAAGAAACAGTGGATGCTTCCAGACTTCTATTTTTTTTTTGAAAGAATACAAGCTACAATTTTTTAAACATCAGTATAATACTCCATATATTAAACCATCTGAAATAAGAGTTCTCATTACTTATGAACATCTAAAGACTAGAAAACTTTCATCTTTATTTCCATTTTGGTCCTAAAAAGGTACTGTCTTTCAGTATTTGAACAAAGTGGAGCTATTGTTTTCCTTAGCCTATAATGCAAAGTCTATTTTTTTCCTTCCTCTACAGCATTCTAAAGTAAAATTCAAGGACCCAGGGCAACTTGATCGCCTGCAGGTATGAATCTGTACAGTAGAGAGAAACCTCCAGGTTGTACACCTATTGACATTGCTTAATAAAAACATCTAGGAAAATGGTGCTTCTGGTTGTGTTTCCAATAGCAAATGTGATTGCAGCACATTGTGGATTAGGTTACCGATCCTTTGAATTCTGACCTTCTGTCTAAAACAGCTTTAGAGGTTACTCTTTTTTCCGATTTGGGAGACTGGAGGGGGAAAGAGTTAATGCTGCTTGAAGGAAGAAAAAAATTCTCTCGGTTATGAAGTTTTGGTTTTTTATTTTGTCCCTTCTTGGCAATTCCTTTGTAATAATAAGAGAGCTTCTTGATTCTCGATACTTAAACTATACCTCCAAATGCATAAGGACACTTGGAGTACGTTTTGAATGTAATTATTTCCTCCTGAACAAATCAAGTGTTTATGATGTAATAGCTATTAAGATCAAAGCATATCACATTGGATAACTGAAATTAGGAATACAAAAGGGAAGAAATGGATAGAACTGTAAAACAAGTTGTCCATATAATTTGCTTGTGGTAGACTCAGACCCTTAGTGTCTCCTTTTTATTATAAAGAAAAAGTTGGGAATATTTATAATCCTTATTTTAGAAAGATAATTTACCTTTTTTTGATAAGTAGTGAGAAAAAAAATCCCTGATTTGATCACTTCAGGTTTAAGGATTCATTACATTTTTTTTTCCCTATTGATCATTTAACATTTTTATTTTTGAACCTGCACACTAACTTGTAATATATGTTTGTGAATAATCATATATTGTACAGTGATTGTGTCTATTCTATATTGAACATACCATTTTAATATATATCATTTCAACATGTCACACACCTTTCTGGATTCATTAACTTTATTAGGTGTCCTCTTGCTCCAAAAGGATGATACAGCCCAGGACATTTTGATGTCCCTCCCAGTGCTCCATCTACTGTTTAGTGGTAACTTTGATGGTTTCAGAAAAACGAGGCAGATTCTAGAACAAATAATTAGAGGGGAGGGGCATATTTTTTAAAACACACGATTTGTACAGATAAATTGTCACGTTATATGTTAAAATAAATGAAGAATGTCTATAAAACGCCTAGCACAGTGCCTGGCATGTAGTAAGCACTCAATAAATATTAATTTCCTTCCCTATTCCACGAGATAGTCATCATTTCTGAAGAATTTAAAAACTGTGAACTCAGCTGTCATGAAACCTGGAAAACACAAAACAAATTTCCAGATCCTCTTACAAGTGTTGGGAGGTGCTGACAAGATTGGTTTTGCCCATGGCTTTGAGAAAAAAAAAAAGTCTGAAGAGTAGACAAATCTGGGTTTTCTAGGTTATTTCGTGTCAACTGAAATCCATTTTAAAGTGTGAAAAAGCAAAAGAGCTTATTGCTGAGATTAAGCATGTGCTTCCAAGACAATTATTTACATTTTTGGCAGAAGGGAGAAAAAGTAACTCTGTTTGCCATTTTGGAAAATCAGTTGCTTTTAAAATGGAAAATCTGGTATGTCATATTTTTCTTAGATAAAGTACCTCTATCATCCCATTCCCGTTTCCTAAAAATCTATTGTTATCATTATTTGTTTCAATAAGTGCTCCTCAAAGTTTCTATTAGAATAATAATTTTGAAAAAAAAACATCCAATAGGCAGTCATTACTACCTATGATAAGTTTCCCACCCTACATAAATAAATGTTATTATTCATATTATTAACCAGTATTAGAGGGCCAGGAAATAGATTATATTTCCAAATTGTGTTGGTATAAAGACTATAATATTTATTAAAATAATTTTCCATGGTCCAGTGAATAGCTAGTAATTGCCTCCTTAAATTTACTGTTAAAAGCTATTCATGTTGGAGTTTGAATGGAAAACATTTCGCCAAATACTGGTAGACATTCGGTTTGGCAGATTTAATATCATTCTTAAAATAAATAGAGGATGTTTTACTTGGTTGTGTTTCAGCAGAAGGCTACTGGGAGCAGGGCCCTCATTGTAGGTCTCGTGCCAGTGGGGAAAGAGGAGGTCATGAAAGTGACCGCTCCAAACGCCAGCAAGGATCTTAGCGTCAGCCATCCACTGTTCCAACGGTTCCATAAAAAAGCCAGGAATGTAGTGCCATGGCATGAACCACAAGAAAAGAGAGTCGTTTGGAAGCAGAGGGACCAGAAGTACAGTATTTTGGAATACTCTGTTTGCCATTCCACTTTGAACAGCCCGAATCGCAAAATGTTGATTGTATTGATCAGATATTACTGATTTTACTGATGTGGAAGAAAGAATAACTAAGATTTTGCTTTTGAAGAGAGATCACTGGCCTTTAAATGCTAATTATGTTTTTGCAACTTACTATACCATTATTCTTGAGCAATAATCTGCTAAGAATGGTAGAAACAGAGGTAAGAGATGGTTGATATCGGACCAGGTAATAGCGTTCATCCTTAATTGTAAAATTATTAAAAGGTAGACACAAATAGAAGAAAAATAACTTCTGAGTACATCTTTTATTGAGAACTTCACAATTGCTCACAATCTTTGTTATTGTTACTGGAAGGGATAAAGGGAAGGAACACTTGCCTTTAATCATTTGTTTTCTGTGTTCATTTCTTATATTTTATTTGATTAATCAACTGTTTACTCATGTAGTTTTTAAAAAGTTCAAAGTCACCTTTTCAATTGTTCTAATGAATTCCTTATATCTGCCCTAGTCTTTTTTTTTAATTGCAGACATTTGTTTATTTTTGTAATCATGCCTTTATTTAAAATTGTGTTAGTTGGAAAGCACTAACAATTTGTCTCAAAATTGCAGATTTCTCTATATCCAGGCACACGTCTAGGGAATAGTTTGTTCTATAAGATAAAACCTGTTTGAAGATACAGTATATGAAAGATATTGTCTGTTTGAGGGTATTCAAACACTGTTACAGTTGCCTATTTCAAGTGTTTTCCTTTTCCAGATAAAATTATATATTTATTTTTTTGCTTTAGTGGGGAAAAGGCATATTAGAAATTTCTTTACTCCTATTCATATGTTTGTGTTGAAATTTCTTCAGGAAATATCAGAAGATAATGCTTTCTACATTACCTGTCTTTACTAATGGTAAATTTTGAGCAAATGTTTCTAATTGCTGTTGTAATGTGTATGACTTTATTTAGGGGACACCTTCATCCTTAAAATATATGGATAAGTTATGTAATTGTAAAAATTTAGAAATAAGAAGTTAATAGTATACTACAAACTGGATCTTATTAGTAATGGCTTACATATTGGCTATTTATCAGAGAATGACTTATTTTTGGTGTAAGTTGCATGGTAATTACTGCATATTTGATAATCAGGAGGTAGTAACCAGACAAAATTTATGGATAAGCATGTGATTGTTTTTAATCCATCTAATTTTGCTTTAGGAAAGGGAAACCATTTAAAATTGGTACATATGCACATGGATATTTCTTTTAGCCAATGACTAAGCTCTTTGTTACATAATTATGAAGCATGATCTGTGTCATATTAGTGGTCATATTACCTTCATCGTGCTTTTTATAATTTTCCTCGTAATTACTGCATCATTTCTTTAATGGTATCTTGTTTGGTTATATAAATAAAAATAATTGAATTTCAATATAAAAACTAATGTAGTATGATAAATTTGATTATAATACAGGCAAGTAATTTATATATAAAAGTCAGATATCTTACATGATATTCCTGCTGTTCTGACTTCATATGGCTTGTGTCTCCTGGGTTTGCAAATATAATCTCTCATGGATCAGAAAACTAATATTTTATCTTTTCATATCTAAAATAAGTTTTAAACTATGGGAAGCATGTGTACAATAGCTTAACACAGGGTTTCAAACAGGGTTGAACCAACCAGCACCTCAGATTTTTATTTTATGGACCTTAGAAATAAAGATGATAGCAAAAGCACTTGCTATGTGGGTGCCTGACGTCATAGATTAAATTAATGTAACATTACAGTTTATTTCACAGCACTAGAAACCTCCATTATATGCTGTATTTTATTTTCTGCATATATGCTTTAGTATATTGAATAACTGATACTTCTGGCTTGAGAAAGTGCTGTAGGTGGTAATGTAATTCTATTTGTGCAGCATAAATGAACAGATCCAATAGCAATCAACTGATTTTTGACCTAGCTTCCCAAATATGGCAGATGACTAGCCCATGACTCCTTGCTGGTACCATACAAAATGAAATCCTAGGTGAGTTTGCAGTTTAAGTTGACTCTTAGATTTGACAAAGCATTCTTTTCTGAGGAATTTAGATTGGCATCCTTTCAGGGGGGAGAGGGGGAGAAAATCCACACTGAATTTTGTTCATTAGAAGCGTTTTGTTTTGGTTGCATGGGAATGGTGCTTTCATTTACAAATTAGCAAAGAAAAGGTAAGACTGTATCTGTTTTATTAGTTGATCATCTGGAAATGTATCATAAAATCATTTAAGAGTTTACTGTGATTTTAAAAATGTTCTTTGATACCAAAGCAAGAGCCTTAAAAAAAAAAAAAAGATGTTTTATTATTAATAAAACAACTGAATATGTAGAATAGTATTATCGGTAAAGGTGAAATAGTTTGAAAGAAAGTCCAGTGGGTATAAAGATTTTACTTTAGAGTACAAGATTGGTTATGATAAGTGAGTAGTATCAAAATAAGCATTTGTATTTGAACTTTGGTATGGAGCTGACAAATTAAAATATAATAGGCACATCAGTGATGCCTTCTTTAAATATTTGAAATCAATATAATGGTTGTCATCGATCTAATAACCAAAGCCATTTATTTACCTAAAACATGATAGTAAGTAAGCATTTTAAACTAAAGCTGTAATTTAGTCCTAATGTGAATAGCTCGACTCTCTAGATAAGTGTTATGGATTATCATGCATGGATTGTGAATTTAGTTAGAATTTTTTAAGAGAACAAAGTGTAAGGAAAGAGTTCTAGATAAAATAAGTATTTTCCCAAAAATGATTTTAAGATAGTAACACTGAAATACTATCTGGTTCATATCCAAAAAAAAAAAAAAAAAATGTTCCTGTAAAACTA